GTTCTTTATCTTAGTAGTTTGTAGGGTTGGCAATGAGGCAGAATGTTACTCAATGGTTGATTGTTAAGTGCAAAAATATAGATGCAGATAATTCAGGTATGATAAAAAGAAGTGTTTATTTTAAGTGAAAATTCTTGACTAAATAAAAAAAGAAAATGTCATGTGATTAGGTTGCTAAGATCTATGGTAAGAATGAATCTTTTGAAACAAAGCTTTTATTACAGTATTATTGTTGTTATGATTGAGCTATTTCATTATTTGTTACTGTTGTTAATCTTTTAGATCTACGGTAAGAAAAAAATCTTCTATCACATAACTTATAGTATATTCTTATAAGTGTTCTCTTTGATATTTAGAATTGACCCTCTCCCACTTTTATATGCAATAATGTACTGCCACTCAGTCAGTTATGTGCTATGCATGATATACACGATCATGTATCATTTGATACATGACTGACAAGGTAGATTTTTTCCTGCAGTAGGTTGCCATTTCTTTCTACAGTAGACCAGTTGCCATCCAAAGCTATAGAACCCAGTCTGTCCTGCTATTTACCCATACCTGGGGATAGAAGAGGATTCATACCTTTCCCAAAGGTATTAACACATAAGTGAATGTAATAGATTCGACTGGAATTTAAACTCGTCTCTCCAATCTGCTATCCATTCCTCCACCGTGTCTCTGTACTGCTACTACCCTTTTGGAAAATTGTCTATTTTAATCGTATTTCATTTTATTTATTTAATAAAGTGTTGTAAGAATATTTATAAAAGTTTTCCTTGCATTCATCTTGAGTACTGTTGCCCCCTTCTACACACACATTAATCCTAGCCTCTAAGTGGCTCCCCCACTTTTGGATTGCTAGAAATTGTTCACAAGTTAGTCTACTTCCAACTCCAAATAAATCAAATTCAAACCACACTTAGCACTAATCGTGTCCAAATTGTTTTCTAGCCAATGAGAAACCTTTAAAAAATATCAAAGTTCTAGGAGCCTATTTGAACTTTCATGAATTAGATAAGTCCTACTTTACAACCACTAATGGCCAATCATTCACTCAGCAGCAAACTCCACACTATGAATGTACCAACCAAGGCCTACCCTTTCCTCTTTGCCATGGCTGAATGATAATTTAACCTCAAAGATACCATCAGACCTCACATTACTTCAGACTAAACAAAACTTCTTGACTTGATTTCTCACACATACAGAATTTATCAGTTTCAAAGAAACTCTATCAAAATCCTTTGTTCTTCTTTCTTTTCATTTTACAAAAAAAATTTATATGGAAACTTTTTACCTAGAAACCTTGTCATGTAATTTTGTAAAAGACATTTTTCCTCACAAAAGGTAGAATATCTCAAAGACTTTACTGAAAGAACTTAATCACTTTTCTTTTGCAGCTATTGAACTTTAAAGATTTACAAAAGTAATATTTCAACACACATTTGAACCTTCTTTATCTGTTTTTTTCCTTTTCACAATAATAAAAATTATTCATTGTGTGCTAACCAAACTTTGTTCCTGCTCTGTTTGATGTCAAACAGCTTGAAGACAAATATAAACAAGACCAACATTAGTTTATAACACAAACCTACACAAAGGTGGTTCAAAAGCAGTTCTAGCAATGAATATTGTGATAGCATTCTTCCTTATAAAGTATAAAAAAATAATTTGTACTTTGTAGCTGTCTATGGTAAAAATAGTTGGTTCATCTGGGAGATTTTAACCATTATCATTCTGTATGTGACTTCATTTGCTGTGCAAATGTTTGTCCAGCCACTGAAGAGGACTCTGATCCCTGAATTTGAATTTGTTTGAATTTCATAGCTGTGTTGTCATATCCTGCTTTGGCAACAGAAAATACCTTTAAGTGAAATTATCAATAAGGTTACTGCAATTAAGAGGCCTTGAAAAAGAATGCAGTGTATAGCGAAATAATATTAATAATTCAGAGTGCTAAAGATTAATGATCATGTTGTGATACTATGGACACCTATATAGAAAGGGACAAGGTAGTTTTATCTCAATCTCAAGTGTTTTTGCTTGATGGGCCAGCAAATGGTCTCTTTTGAAGTTCAGTCTTTTAAGAGCCATCCACTTTAACGAAAAGGAAATGCAAAGAGATTTTCTGAGATCAAGTGGTAACAAAACCAAAAATAGTCTTTTTTTTTAATCAATCCACCTCAAGCAAGGTGATAAATCCACTAAGATGCAAGGGCTTATTGGAAGTGGAGGAGGAGGAAAAATCTTTAGAAGAGACCAGAAACTCAATAATAGCATAAATTTCAGAGTTTAGGTGGAGATGTCAGAAGTATTGATTTAAAGTAGAACTTAGAAGGAACTGTCAACACTTTCCTAAAAAGAAACACAGGATAAACCTCTATGATGAGGAGGAGTGTGAACTGAACAATAGGTAAAACCATCTGTTCCTGGGTGCTAGTCTATCTTAAGTCATGATTGGGATTGGAGAGTGCTCTGGTCTGCTCTTGGCAGGAGATGGATGTGTCTGTGTTTCAGTTTCAAAGCCACCATTTTGTATTGCTATCTATCACATAAGGATTAGTAGGTGGATGAGGAGTTGGTAGGGAGATGAGCTGACATAGTAGAATTTGTCCAGAGTATTACCTACCTACCTACCTGAATGAGCAGGTGAAGCCTTAAATAAAACATGTATATATAATATGGGAAATGGGGTACACATTCTTATTTCTTTAATTGCATTACCTTGTGAGCATGCAGTACACCTCCCCCAGCTTTTGATACAAATTTGATTGATGATTGGAATGCAATGTGGAGTGATCATTGGCCAGTTAGTAAAAAGCTTTGGTGAGGGTTGCATTGTATGTTTAAAATGTAACCAGAGAAGTAAAAAGAGTAATGTGTCTCTTTTACTTCTTTGTCAGCCCACTAGACAGACAACTTTGATAAGTACACTAGCAAAGCAACTGGCCACATACACATTACATTGTTTAAGTAAATATGTATACAAAATTTCATTTTATTTTAATTTTTAGACAAAAAAGACTGAATGATAACATCAATAATTTTCATGTACTGACTTAACAAGAGTTTGGTTTGACTTAATTAATAGTGTATCAACTCCTTATGGGTCATTTAATGCCAAAATTTAATTTTCTTGGGAGCTTTAAAAAAATACATGTTATTCTGCTTTCACAGTTGAATACATGGTAAATGATACTCTGCTTTTGTGCATATACATGATTGTGTGGACATAATTGCTAGAAGTGGTTACGTGTGTTTTATGTTGTTTAGTTGAAGTTATATTTTGGAATACGGTTTGATTTCTTTAAGAAATTGTAGGATATTATATGGATTAATGTCATGAAAGAGTTCTTTCATGTTAATTGGTTGGTTTTGCTCAGTTGCATATCAACCTCTATGGGTTATTTAATGCCAAAATCTAAATATTTTGAACACACTTTTATGGCTTCAACTAAATATATTTTGAATGCAATTGTAAGCCTTCAATTAAATATATTTTGAACGCAATTGTATGCCTTCAATTAAATATATTTTGAACACAATTGTATGCCTTCAACTACAGATAAAATTTAGTGTTGATCATTTTGTTATAAAATGTATTTTTGTTAATTCTACTATAAAATGTATGGTAGGTACATCTTAATATAAAATGTATTGCTATTCATTTTGCTTTAAAATTTTATTGTTGGTAATTTTACTATAATTTTTATAATTTTACTTTTTGTTGGCGGGGGGGGGTCACTGTTTGCCCATAGCTAGGACCCTAACAGGTGCTACAACTTTAGGTCAAGGTGGACCGAGGAACAACAGCAATTAAAAGGTGGTTCCATGCTCTTCAAAATTACCAATCTCCCAATCAGAAGTGTTGCTACCAAAAGTAGTCTATCATTTATAAGGACTATTTAACAAGAAAGTTGGCATTCCAGAAAAATATTTTAATTTGCTCAATTTGTGAAATCCTGGCTTACTCAAGTCATTGTTTAAGATCTTTAAAAATAGTGTTATGTGTGAAAATTAAATGAAGGCAAAAAGTCAGTATAAAATTCTAAAGTGCCAATGTAGATATTTTTGCAACACCCTAAAATATACCAAGTTTGGCTGTATAAACTCCAATTACCTTTAAGCAGTGGACTATGGACAGTACACAAAGATATATTTTATTGATCTACTTTGTTTATGAGATGGATCATTAAGTCCGTAGCCTAATATGTAGCTATTAGCTGAATTTTGATCTGAAATATTTACTGTACAATGTTCAATATATGTAATTAATATTCATTAATTAATTAAGTGCATTGAGAAGGAAAATGATAATGTTGAAAAATAAATATTATTTGTATCAACTCATTAGGTTGATGACATATGCATATAACTATGTATACACTCACCAGCAAATTTAGCAGGTTGCTGTGACCATGTTTAAATGCCTATATGTATATATATATGTATTTCAACCGACAAAAACTATGTCAGTCTTATTCAACCCCAGTGTATGAATTGAGTTCACTGAGCTGCTGGAATATTTTGTATAGAGAAAAACGTTAAAATTCCCTTCGTTTCTTTCGTGTGATGATGGCCTTGGGCTAAGATATCTGACTGATGTCAAATCAGTCGGGTTTCAATCCCAGCTTGAAGCAATTGGACATCTAGCCACACTGAGGAGCTGTGATACAGTGAAACAGTCTGTCTGTGGATGACTATATATATATATGTGTGTGTGTGTGTGTGTGTGTGGAGAGAGAGAAAGTGTGTGGAGAAATGAAGACAATATGATGTGATGACTGTTTATGGGATAAAAACTGTCAGTCATGCAATATTCATTTCTACATTCACTTTCTCTATATATGTACATATGCTATATTTTGCTGATATTGATCGCTTTTCCATCATAAGTTTTAATTATGATGGTACATTAAGCTTAATGATGAGAAAAGCAGTTAACACAACAAATATTTATTTTTTATTTTTCAACAAACAGGTAGAGAGATATAAACAAATTGAAATAGATAATAAAGAGACTGAGATAGATAGATAGATAGATAGATAGATAGATAGATAATGAATAGACTGAGATAGAAAAATGAGCAGACTGAGATACATAGATGTATAATTAACAAAATGAGATATATAATGAACATAGATAGATATATAATGAACAAATTGGGATAGATATATAACATAGATAGTTTATAGATGAATAGATGGATAGATAGATAGATAGATAGATAGATAGATAGATAGATAATGAACAGAGTGAGATAGATAGATAGATAGATAGATAGATAGATAGATAGATAGATAGATAATGAACAGAGTCAGATAAATAGATAGATAGATAATGAACAGATTGGAACAGATAGATAGATAGATAGATAGATAGATAGATAGATAGATAGATAGATAGATAGATAGATATGTATATAATGAACAGATTGGGACAGATAGATATATAATGAACAGATTGGGACAGATAGATAGATATAATGAATGAACAGATTGGGATAGATAGATAGATGGGATAGATAGATAGATAGATAGATAATGAACAAACTAGAATAGATAGATAGGGATAGATAGATAGATAGATAGATAGATAGATAGATAGAAAGATAATAATAAACAGATTGGAATAGATAGATATATATAACCCACAGATTGGGATAGATAGATATATATATAACAGATTGAGATAGATAGATAATGAACAGAGTCAGATAAATAGATAGATATATGATGAACAGATTGGAACAGATATATATATATATATATATATATATATATATATATAGATAGATAGATAGATAGATAGATAGATAGATAGATATGTATGTAATGAACAGATTGGGATAGATAGATATGTAATGAACAGATTGGGACAGATAGATAGATATGTAATGAACAGATTGGGATAGATAGATAGATAGATAGATAGATAGATAGATAGATAGATAGATAGATAGATAGATAAGAAATAAACTAGAATAAATAGATAGATAGATAGATAGATAGATAGATAATAAACAGATTGGAATAGATAGATATATATAACCCACAGATTGGGATAGATAGATAATGAACAGACTGGAAGAGATAGATAATGAAGTGATTGACATAAATAGGAGAAAGATATGAACAGATAAAGACAGTAGATAGGTAGATAAATATGAGCAGACTGAAGTAGATACATATAAACAGACTGGGGCACCTTGGCGTGGTGTAATGATTAGCCAGCTTGTCTCGCTAAAACAGTTACAACTGAATAGTGAGTTCGATCCTCATACTTTCGGCCTTGTGCCACATCTAAGCTACACTTGGAAAATCACTACATATAAACAGACTGTGATATTTATGACCATAAATAGAAAGGTATATAGTTGTATAAAGTATGATATAAATACTGACATTATATATATGGATATAAATATAGTGAAACAGATAGAAGTAGATTGTAATGGTTAAGAAAACACAGAAGATATAAATTATAAGGGAGGTGAAGAGGAATCGGCTGGGATCGATAAGAGAAGAATTGTTAATTGATTAAAAGTATACGCAGTAAAGAATAAAAAGATGCAAGTAAAAAAAAGTAATGAATCAGTGAAGTAAAAGTGAAAGAAGGGATAGAGAGAAAAGCAAGAATACGGTTGGAGCATCAGAGTACAACATTCGACTCTGCCATTCTGGTTTGTGAGGGTGACCACTTGGCACCAATAGTCACTTCCTTAATTCTGAATCCTTGCCAAAGTCTTTTTGCTTCACTTATCACATAATTTAATAAATACTCCATGAAAAGATAATCTAATTCCCTCCACAAGCAATCGTCTATCAATAATCAAATTTAATCTATTTACCTTTATTTTTCTATCATTATTAATTATGACTAATATTATTTAATTAATTTACAAAAACAAACACGTATGTATAATAGCTTCATCCCACTCTCTGCATCACACACACATATATATATATGACATATATATATATATGTACACACACACAGATACATACAGAAACAGGAAATGGGTATAAATACAGAAACACCAAAATGGGTATAAACATTCAGTTACAAAATATATATATATATATATATATATATATATATATATATATATATATATATATAAGTAGCATATCTTCATTCAAACATGTTTTATTGAATAATATAGATATTAACACTCAAAATTTAAAACACAAAATTTATTATGAGTGTAGCAGAAATGTGTAAAAGTGCATATAACAAACATTTAATGCCATTTTGCATTCTACCAGTTTACAGTCAGTTCCCTTATATTGAAATGAGTGTTTTTGTTGTGGTAGGATCCACCTAATTTGCATAGTGGAGTACCGACCATATAAAAATGGTTGGTACCGGGAAGACGAGGGAAGGAATCAAGAGATTCAATCCAGAGACTCAGCCCGACTGCGACTAAGTCAACACATTCTCCAGCAACGGTCTTCCCAAGAATATACAAAAGACTATATGTAAATATTGTGTACACTTTCTTGTTTCAATACATTTTGTTCTAAGTACATTTTGTGTTGTATTATTATTCCATGCATTAGTCAAGTTTCAACAGTTTTGCAAAAAATTCTGTAGATACAACAGTTAAATTTAAAATTTTAAAAATAATTACAGAGCGCGTTTTTTTTAAAATCACTATCATAATGGAATGCAGATTTTGTTGCAGTTACAATAAGTTTGTCTTTGTGATTTACCCCTGAAGATGAAAAAAACTATGGTGCCTTCTTTGATGAATTGCTTCTTAACATCAAGAAACTGATTAGACAACTGGAAAGGATCAGCATAAAAATAAGTAGACACACTATGTCTATATTATTCCATGAAACACCTATATATGCATATATATATATATATATATATATATATATATATATATGCATGTTTTTCGTTAAAAACGACAGACAAAAGGTACTACAGTTGAGCTTTTTATTTAATTTTTTCTTGTGTTCTGACAAGAGCTTTTTTTTCTGGACAAAGAGTGTGTAAGAACTGTCCGAATGTTCTGTTCTTACACACTCTTTGTCCAGAAAAAGAAAGCTCTTGTCAGAACACAAGAAAATTAAATAAAAAGCTCAACTGTAGTACCTTGTCTGTCGTTTTTAACGAAACATGCATAAAGGAAGGATTGCTGCCTAATTATACAAAATATATATATATATATATATATATGTATGTGTTTGTGTTTATGAAGCTGCTGAATAGTTCTTGGCCTGACAAAGAAGAAGGCTTTCCTCACAAAAAAATGCAATGTATGTTTATTTGGTTAGATTTTTGTAAAATGGGTTAGGCTAAGGATTTTTCAGCACATATATATATATATATATATATATATATATATATATATATATGAGGATGTTGAAAATATATATATATATATATATATATATATATGAGGATGCTGAAATATATATATATATATATATATATATATATATATAAATTCAATAGATTTCCATGGGGATAGAAAGCATACAGATATTACCAGTGTGGACATAGCAATCAATACTTATGGTGACAGTCAGTTTAACACATCAGTGTGATCATCAGACTTGGTTAGAAAATCCCATTAAAGCATGAAACTTTGCAATGGCCTTAGTCAGAATAAAAAAAAAAACATTAAAACATAATATTCATAGGAGTTTCCTTCTAAACTTTTCAATCATGGTAGTGTGGAGAATTAACAGCTTGAGTAATTCATTATTTTCTCTTCCAGTTGCAAATAAATGATCAACATTTGCCTATACTTGAGCTCAACAAATGCTTACAAACTCAAATATGATGGTGGTAAAATTAGCTGTTTCCATACAGGAAATATTTGGCACACACTGACAGAAGAGTTAGTCTTAGAGATGGGTGAAATTTGCAATGTCTTTTCCTTAAAAGTGTTTTTCAGGAAATTAAACTTCAAGTCCACTGCTATATCTCTTTCTAATATTGATGGGAATTTCTCTTCAAATATTTTGTTTAGCCTGATTATATTATTTTCTCTTGCCACCCATTTTTGCTTTTAATGCTGTTGAAATTTTTCAAGGGATATTTTTTTTTCATTTTATTTTGCAGTGCCAGTCTAGATGATCTAATGGAAGATTCTAGGCCTGTATGTTTTTAATGCCATGTACCTTCAGTAGGTATACGATCATGACTCTTCCTAGCTTCCTTTTCTTTGTTATCTTTGAATTACTATGCCTTCTTGGGAAAGATAGTGGAGTGGTTTCTTGTCTTCTCCACAGTTTTGAATTCAGAGTAGTTATTCTTTTAGAGTGACTACTAGAGATCCCAGTTTACTATAATTAAGAGAAGGAATTGATTAAAATCTTTCTTAAGGACATTTGTGTAAAAGTGAATGCAGCAGGTTCGGCCAGAATTTGAACTTGGTTTTCTAATTTCATTTGCGCAAGCAAAAGAATCTGGAACACATTTGAACCTCATTTTAACTTCTCAGTTAAGCAGCATACATGTATCTCACCTGGACAATCATAAATATTTTGATTTATGACTGACTAGGCAGTAGATTTTCCTGCAGTCAGTTGCTATTCCTTTATACAGTAGGCCAGCTGCCAAGGCTATAAGACCCAGTCTATCCTGCTATTCAACCCATAGCTTGTGGGGGTGTTGAGATGGATTCATATCTTCCTTAAGTGAATGCAATGAACCTGGCTGGAATTCAAACTCAGCTCTCCAATTTCTCATTCTGAGCTGATATCCTTTACACCACAATGCCTATCCTTCTAAACATGTTTATAAACATAAAATAATGATATCAGTTAACATCGCCCTCTTTTGAAATATGTGCCTTGGCACCATTTTGTCCTCTGCTGTGACTGTTACTTTTCAGTAATGATTTTATCTCTGTGCAACTCTGTGTTTTTTATACCATGTACCTTCAGTAGGTATATGATCATTGCTCTCTACAGCTTCCTTTTCTTTATTATCTGTGAATTTCCATGACTTCTTTGGAAAGATAGTGGAGTAGTTTCCTGTTTTCTCCATGGTTTTGAATTCAGGAAAGAGAACCTAGTTTATTATAGCTAGTGGGAGAAGATATGGATTTTTCTTTTTCCCAAGGGTATTTGTGGGAAAGTGAACACAGAAGGTTACACAAGAATTTCAAATGTTTGTTGATTTCACTTTCCATACCAATAACTAATGTGCTATCCATACACCCTAACTGGGTACTGCTAGTGTGAAAACTCACCTAGCACAAAATAATGGAAAACACAATGACGATGATGAGAACAAAGTACAGGCTGAATCTCTGCAAATAATAATAATAGTAATAATAATAATAATAATAATAGAGATTTTGTTCAACTCTTTATGTCTTCAAACAATTTCAGTGTCTTTCAAAATTTACTTCAATGCCATTCAACTTATTTATTCTTAAGGATTTTTTTATTTTAATAACAGAAACTAGAAAGATGAAGAAACGATCAAACTGAAGAGAAATATTTCACAATACAAAGAAAATTTCTAAAAGTAAGCTTAAGAAAATTTTTTCTCAAAACTCTAGGAAAACTAAATTTACTTATCACCTCTTTTTATCAGTTGCTTTACCATCAATGTTCTTTAGTACACTGTTTACCCCAAGAGATAGAGAAATCGAAAATTCTTCTTCATTATCTCAAATTCTTTAAATGAAAAAAAAAAATGTATTATTTCATTTCCTATTGTGAAAAAAATTTCTTCTCTTATTGTCTTTTCATATTTTTTTTTTCACTTTAAAATCTTTATAATGGTAAATTTGTGGACAGATCATAGTGGTTAGAGTATTGGATCTTTAGTTATGGGCTTCCCTTCTTTGTTCATCAAACTGGAGTGTCTTTCGCCCTCTTTTTTATTTATTTCTTTTTATAATCTCTGAAATTTTTTTTATTTCACTTCAAACCCATCTCTAAAATAACCCCACCAATATTTATCCATCTAAGTCATACATTTTTCCTCTCATATCAGTTCTTCCTCATCCCTCGCTTCTTACTCATCACCCCTCTTTCTCTGAACCTATTCTTCATTCTCATTATCTACATTCATCTCTCTCATTCATATTCTTTCTTCCTCTCTCTTATTACAAAATATATATTATACTTATAAAATAAAAAAAAAAAACATTTGATGGCACTGGCAAATAAATTAGTAAATAAAATAAATGAGAGAGTTATAAGGAGAATTGGTGTTGTTTATACTAAATTAGTGTTAATGACTCTGTGTGTGCATGCATATATATATATATTAAATAATATTTATGTTGGTCACACCACAAACTCGCTTTCATGACGCTTGACACTACATTTTAATGAAAACTCTAACATTTTTAGGCATTTAAAACAACATGCCTGCCCGCATTACACACAATTCCAGAAAATACTTGTTTAAAACACAACTATACTTCGACATGAAAACAATAGACAAAAACTAAAAATGCTTGAAGCATTATACATCAAACAGTTAAAACCCAACCTAAACAAAATCAACTATGGAATCTCTACAAATATTCTTAAATGTCTATAATTTCTATAATTGGTAACAGAAGCCATTGGTTTATACCAACGGCTTTCCTTATTTCATTCTACAACCACTCTCGTAGTCATGTGTGACGTCATGAGATGCGGTGCGATTTTCGCTTCTAGCGCCTTATATGCGTGTTCATCGTTGCTTAGTGATCCACTATGTAAACAAAACAATGACAGACTATCATCACTGTCGTGTCCGTATATTGTTTGATATGTTTGTAATTACATCTTTGATAATGGCTTGAGTAAGCTGAAAGCTTAGATTATATTAAAAAAATAATGGATAAATATTGTGAATTTCTTTTTTCGGTTAATGATAATGTTATCAAACTTATCAGAAGATACGAAAAAATTTTACATAAAATAAATAGACAACACTTGTCTATATTATTTAATGAAACGTATATATATATATATATATATATATATATATATATATATATATATATATATATATAATCTAACATTATTTGTGACCAAGATGAGCCTTCAAGTTAGAGGACATCAGCTGTGGTTTGACCAGAGTTGGATGAGCACAGGCCTACTTGCCTAAGATGTTATGTATAAGTGAATACCTCTCTGGATTTCAACAAAGTGGAGAGAACTGGCCAGGTGTTTAGATGTGTAGTGTCCCTAAGGCCCCATCCAATACAAGGACCAAAAGTCAATCAAGGTAGAGGATTACCGAATGCAGTTCTTTTAAGGACATAAGAAGAGGAAGTAAATTCAGATTATGAGGACATATAGGATAGATAACAATTGATCTTTGGCTTGAAGAGGTTAAGATTATTGTGATTAGGGAAGCATCCTCTTGGGAGTCTGTTTCACAAAGTTCTCAAGAAAAATCTGAGTGAAACTTCTATCTTACCAACTGAATAAAAAGGGAACGAATATGATTTGACCTTGTGTATGTAGCATGGTGGGTTCTGAAATACACCAAATTTTGAAATAAGCATTTCTCTCATGGA